CGTGCTTTTCCGAAGAACTTAAGAAAAGTTTTGTTTTGCAGCGGGAAAAATACTTTCGTGCATCTTTTATTATTTGGGGTGTGATTCAGAAATATTGGAGGAAAATTGGAAAAATAATGATTTTCCTGTCAAGCAACGTAACGTTTCTGTCCATATATACTAAGTGACATATAAATCCGAACACCCAGTTTAAATGGTTTTATTTTAATAAAATTTTGTTATAAGTACTTAATGAAGCATAATAAGTAATAAGATAAAAATTTCGAAATGATTGCACTGCTTTAAAGCCCTTTGACCTTTACTAATGTGTGGATGCACCCTGATGTGCTACGCATTCTCCAGCGCGCCTAGGCATGCTTCTGATCAGGTGGTCAATGTCCTCCTGTGGTATCTCATTCCAAGCAACCACCAACTCCTCTCGAAGTGCTTCTAGAGTCTGAGGAGGACGTTGCAAATTGAGCAATCTCCTACCCATCATATCCCACACGTGCTCAATTGGGGATAAGTCGGGAGATCTTGGTGACCATGGTAACAATGTGACATCATTATGTTGAAAGAAGTCTATTGTGACTCTTGCAACATGTGGTCGGGCATTATCTTGTTGGAAAGTTGGATCTGCCAGGGTGTCAAGATAGGGTAAAGGATGGGGTTCTAGAACTTCGTGGATATAACGCTGCGCGTTCATGTTACCTCTGATGAAGATTAAAGGTGACCTGGAACCATAAGCTATAGTACCCCAAACCATAACTCCAACAGTGTGATGAACATGTCTTTCAACAAAAAACTGTGGATTCCTCCTTTCACCACGTCGCCTTCTAACCCTGGCACGACCATCGTGCATGCCTAAACAAAATCGAGACTCGTCACTAAAGGCAATACTGTTCCATTCCTGATCCCAGAGTGACCGTTGTCTGCACCACTCAAGGCGATTACGTCGGTGTTCTCGAGTTAAAGGGAGGACCCAGTGTGGCCGGTATGAAAACAAGCCAAAACTTCTCATTCGTCGGTAAACACTTCGCATGCCAATGGGTCTTCCGTGTTCTGCAAACCATTCATTTGCAATGGACCTGGTAGTGGAGAAACGGTCCCTTAAGGCCAATAATCTTAGGCGGCGATCTTCACGGTCTGTTGTTCTACGGCGGCGTCCAGTGCCCCTTGCTCTTTGCGTACGGCCTTCTCGAAGCCATGCCTGACAGCACTCTAACTGCAATTGCCCGAAAAGAAAGTCCAGCTTCCCGAAGTCCCACTATACGGCCCCTATCAAACTCACTAAGTTGACGAAATCGTACAGGTCTCCGTACTCTAGGCATCGTAACCGATCGAAAAGGATGTCAAGAACCAAAATCCGCCAACGTTGATTCTTTACTGCGGCTGAAATATTCATTTTTAGAGCGTTAGTGAATTAAAAAAAAGCAGTATAAAAACCGGAATGTCCAACTGATAAGGCTGAAAATTTTTTCACTTGTTATTTACAGTAAGATAAATACATTCACCAACTTTTATTAAAATAAAACCATTTAAACTGGGTGTTCGGATTTATATGTCACTTAGTATATTTTGTAGCGCATCAGAAAATAAACATTCATGTATAATATCTACATGCCTTGAGAAATGACTGTTGAAGCTTTAAAACTAGGTTTGAAATGATTGAAGACACTATCTACGTGTTTGAAAAATTGTCACACGTCGTTATTCAATCGCAAAGAAACAAAAGAGATAAAAATGACATGAAGTTTCTGTGTTTATAGCGGGAATCAATATTTTGAACCTATAACCTCACACTTCAAGCCCTAACAAATACTTTATCATCGTTAAAATATTAAAACAGATGGTCGATATTCTTCAGTTCTAAAGCATCCCAACTTACAGATTTGAAACATGCAAATTACTTACTGATTTACACATTTTAAATTGAATAAATTTTCTATAGATCAGGCGCGTTCAAAAATTTTTTGGACAGCCCCCTTACAAAAAACTACGGCTGCATCCGCGTCATGGCGAAGTAACAGTTCAACAAAAAAATTGAATTATTATGTAGAAAATCGAACTTGTGTACTATCTAGTCAGTAGTCCACGGCACGCGCACTTGCTGTGAACGCCACCTATCAGCGCCAAACCATACATGGCGCTTAGGCGATGCGTACAACTGGTACAAGTGTACATGAACAGGTACTTCTGGGGTGAATTTTTTTCATGAACACCTACATAAAGCAATTTTAAGCGATCTACCGTTGTTAGGTTTTGGCCTTCTCGTTTTAAGCGACACGGTTTGTAAAAGCTGTCAAATGAGGACGTCACGAAGTAGCCCTTTGTGAATTCATGGCTTATGACAGTTAAGACCCATAATAACTCAACTAGCAAAAGAACTGTTCAGCCGTAAAACCTCTCTATTGATGTTGCCTGAACACCAAAATGCTGGCTTAATGTTGTGTGGAATGCAAATTTGCTTTCTGCAGCATATTTGCTCTAAAATGAGGTGTTAAAAATATTCTTATAGCATAGTTATACAACACCTTGTAGGACAAATTTTGAACGGTTGCATAAACGTTTATACAACTATTTTATACGGCATATTTGCGCGGTAGTGAAAATAGTGGTGTTGTGGCATCCATGGTAACGTTTATACAACAAACTCGAGCCTTGTTGTTTTGGTGTGCACATTTACAACTTTAGCCAACAAATTTCTCCCAACGGAAGCACTTATACAACTGTCGTTTAGTAACTGTTAAAGGCTGTACATCTGCAACAATATTACAACTT